AAAATCTTCGGCCTCGTAGCAACCGTGAACTCACAACAGAATTGACAATCGACAATTTTATTACCCTGGTAGTAGGTACCGTGGTAATAAAGTGAAACTGCGCGACGGTTCTTTCTTCCACTTCTGCAAAGCACGTGTTATCCTCGAACCGTTGGTTCCTTTTTACCTAAATCTTGTCATGGTGGGAATAAAGTCACAATGTAACGATGGGAAACTACTTGGGGGTAGAGGAAGCCCTTTCGGAAAAATTCTGTCAGTTGGTTAGCAATCGGGCGAGAGAGATGTTCAGTTCACGGGAGTATTAAGCATTCTTCTGGTGGTACGTACAGAATAACGGATATGCAGGTGCTGCTGTGCAAGTGTTTGACTACGTAAAATATCTGAAAAATTGAAAACAATCGGCCCTTTCCGGGGCCACGAATTTTTCTAACGTAGTAACAACACGTTGGATTAAAAATACATTAAGTGATTGTGTCGGGTGATCAGTGTTAGTGGTCGTGCAGTGAAGTGAGTACGTATTCGGTGGAATAACCAGGACGCACTTAACGTTACAACCCTTAACTTCGGCTGGTGAGGTATACCTGCGATCACCTGCGAACTGGGCGATACTCTGCCATAAACCGTTTCGGCCGTCGATGACTAGGATCGGTTCATTGACCTAGTGACACAGGTTTGCAAACGGCAGGTGAATTTCCGAAAGGGTGAGTTCTAATCAATTTATTGCTGATTATTATTTTCTTAATTTAACGCAAGCTATGGCTTATTTCCGGCGATAATTCTGCAAGTTTCTGTACCTAACTTTTTCTTCGGGCTTTTTGAAGAAACTTATTCATTATCAGTAACATTGTTGACAGTTATTAAACTACGAATTTTTATACCAATACCAAATTACGATCACTTCTCGTTTATTCTCTGTTACATTACCTTTTCGTTCATACGTTATTTGAAGAGGAAATTTACAAATTCGTGAAAAGGAATTTACAAAAATGTAAATGTGCATTCGTCTTTTTACGTTACACATAATTTGCCTACATTTACGTTTCATTCATTGATCTCTTTAAATAACAAACGACAGATGATAAAAAGTATGATTTTATTTGTTACGTCTTGTTTATTTGCTATTATTATACGGGGTTTCCTGCGATGCATGGTGACCTACTTGTTCGGAGTTTCGTAGTACAAGCGTAGCGCGTAGCTACCGCTAGCATAGGAACTCGGCTGGCAAACTCGCGCTCTGATTGGTCGCGGTTTTTCGTTAATATCTCGGTAACGAAGCCTCAGTTAACATTGTTGCTAAGGAAGAAGTTGTTCCAATTCACCCCCCGAGTGCCCCATTTCCGGGTCGGAGGACATTTTTGGGACACCCTGTATATTTCCACGCTAAGCAGATCACATTTGTACACGATGTTCGGGATTTTGGTCAAATTGAAATATAGTCCATGTAAAAATAGGACGGGTTTAAGTTATAATTTCGTTGATTTTGAAACTGGTTAAAGGATGCCGACTCTCAAATTTTGCAATTATGTATCACCGATTTTTACCACAACTAGCTTTACAAAATAATATTTATCCTTGCAATTATTAAAGATACGAAGTTTATCTTTATTTAATTTTAATTTTAAAGGATCATTCTTTTTATGATGGTACGGATAAAATTATTCCAAACAATAAGAGTATGTGACTATTATGAGATCGCGTTGAACGCCTCACCCTGTGTGTCCTGTGACTTTTTCTCAGCGTTCCTACGGCCTACCATTCAGCTACAGATTACAACATTACATGGAGGCTTCGGGAGACCCAGCTCCCCTAATGTGAGACAACCTCGCCGTGTATGGCCTGCTTATCATTCTTAACTTAACGTGTTTATTGTTTTTATACTTATCACATCTCTCTTCCATTTCTTGATAAGCGAAATCACTTTGATAACCCCGAGATTTTTACATGACTGTATAAAGTTGAAGCAGTCAGTGGCAGGGAATTCGCAATGTTTCGCTTATTGAGTAATATTAGTTACGCGTCTGAGTTACAAATGACAAGGTATTTAGTAACTGACCTGAATTACGGGTTTCTCAAACAATTAGGTCTCACAACAGAAAACCCAGGACTCTATGATGGACGATGGGGAGGATCTGGCAAGGTATTTTAAATACTTAAAGTGAATTTTGGTTAATTATTAGCAACAATACCAAGATGTTAGTTAACTCAAAGTAACTGTGCAGGTAATAGAATCAATATCACCATCAACTGGCAAAGTAATAGCAAAGGTTAGAACATCAATACCACAGGAAGTAAGAAATGCTATTACAGAAGCACACAAAGCATGGCCACAATGGGCATCACTACCAGCACCAACAAGAGGGGAAATAGTGAGACAAATTGGCGATGAACTAAGGAATAACTTAAAACCCTTGAGCCAATTAGTATCCCTAGAAATGGGTAAATTTTATACAAATATCATCAATTTTTCTTCTCCCATTAATTTATTTAAATTTTAAGTTTATCACTTCTTAGGAAAGATTTTACCAGAAGGTATTGGCGAGGTTCAAGAGTTTATTGACATCTGTGATTATGCTGTTGGCTTATCTAGAATGCTACCTGGCAGTATGTTTCCATCAGAAAGAAAAAATCATGCACTCATGGAGAAGTGGAACCCCCTTGGTGTCGTGGGAGTCATTTCTGCATTCAATTTCCCAATTGCAGTCAGTATGGTCTAAATAAAAATATCAATATAAGAAACTTAATGAAAAAAAAATTGTATCTTAGGTGTATGGCTGGAACAGTGCAATAGCAATGGTATGTGGGAACACTATAGTTTGGAAAGGGGCATTAACTACTCCTTTAGTATCTATTGCAACTACTAAAATTATCACAGGTGTCTTAGAAAGGAATGGTATACCGGGTTCTGTTGTATCATTGGTAACGGGTGGGCCAGAAGTTGGTGAAACTATAGTCGAAGACACACGGTAAATCTAACACTAACTAACAGTGAAATTTAATTAACTGCAATGTTATCCACTATTTCTATTTTTAGGGTACCCCTAATTTCATTTACTGGGAGTACCAATGTTGGAAAGGAAGTAGCTCTGAAAGTTCAAGAGCGATTTGGGAAATTCTTGTTAGAATTGGGAGGCAACAATGCATTAATAGGTATGTTAAAAAAGTATAAGTGACTCACAATCATGTGTTTATATTGTTTTTTTTGTACTAGTTGCCCAAGATGCAGAATTAGAAATGGCGGTTAGAGCAGCAGTGTTTTCATGCGTGGGAACAGCAGGACAAAGATGCACCACAACTAGAAGATTAATTCTTCATAGTAAAATAAAAAATGAATTTTTAGGTAAATAATTTATTTTAAAGTAGATCTCAATTTTTACGAGCATATTATTTTAAAGAAATTAAATTTGATAGGAAAATTAAAAAAAGCATATGAAAGTATTTTGGAACGCATAGGAGATCCATTAGAGAATAATACTTTGTATGGACCATTGCATAATCAACATGCAGTTGATGAATATAAGGTAATTACATATAGAAATAAAATTCTTTGCGGTGGTAAAATTGAATTTGGTGGTAAACAAATAGAAAGGCCTGGCTTTTATGTTGAACCAACGATTATTTCTGGTTTACCTGCTGATGCTAAGATAGTTCAAACAGAAACTTTCGCGCCAATCGTCTATATTTTTGAAACAAATTCTTTAGAAGACGCAGTCGCTCTTAACAACGGCGTACAGCAAGGTCTAAGTAGTTCTCTATTTACCAAAAGTATAGAGAATGTATTTCGGGTAAGCATTTAATAATATAATATTTTCTAAATGATAGTACATACTAAAGACATTTTTTTCTAGTGGATTGGTCCCCATGGCTCTGATTGTGGAATAGTGAATGTTAATATTGGCACCAGTGGTGCAGAAATAGGTGCTGCATTTGGAGGGGAAAAAGCTACAGGAGGTGGTCGTGAAAGTGGAAGCGATGCATGGAAACATTACATGCGACGTGCAACCATTACAATCAATTATGGAAACGATTTGCCACTGGCTCAAGGCATTAAGTTTGAATAATTAAATAGACTGTACAAAGTGGCCTTGAAAATATTTCAGCGATTTAATTCAAATCTTATAAAATCCACCTGAACATCCACAGAAGTTTTCTTATGAAATTTATACGCTTTTGGTAGATCGTATCTCAATTCTGCAATGATTTTGCCTTTTGCATCAAATTGTGCCGCTTTTTGAAGAATATAATTGCGTGTACTGGTTTTATGCAAAGAATACACAGCTCTCGAAGCCAGTTTCATAGAAATCTCTAAAAACTTCATATCTATGCCTGAGTTGTGCTTTGTCCCAAAAGGAGGATTCATTACCACTGTATCAAAGTATTTCTCGAATTTTCCTGCAATGTAATTACTTAAAACCATAAATGATATTAAATAAATTGTATACTTTCTATATATATATGTATATACCTGGTAAATACTGCAGTACATCACATTGTATCACTTCTACAAATAGTTCTATGTCATTGCAATTTCTAGAATGGATTTCCAGTGCATCAGAGTCTATTTCAAAGCCAAGAACATGACTTGCTCCAAGCATTTGTGCTCCGAGAGACAAAACGCCACATCCAGAACCTAAGTCTGCTATTGCATGACCTTCTATGTCATGAAATTGGGTTTGAGCTGTATATAACATACGTGATGCAATATGTGCGCTGGTACAATATTGTTCAAGTAATACTTTTGGCTTTTCAAATCCATCCAACTGTTGCAAATATTCTTCTAATTCACGAAGCTGAATACTAGCCATTTTTTACATTAATTATTACACTACACCTAGTACTTCTCCGTGGTCTCAGAGATAATGTACTTCAAGAATTATTAACCCTTCTTTACAATCACTATTGATACGCTTATTTACAAATAGTGTTTGTGATCATTTATTATGTACAATTTGAATATTTCTGAACTAATTATTTTACTTAGTGTCAAATCTGGGCAGAACGGGTAAAATTAAATTGCCAAAAGAAGAGTCCTGTGTTACAAAATATCCTGACGATGCTGCATGAGCATTATGCAGGGCAGCTCTTTGTGATGCACTCATTGCAATGCCATCAGAGGGTTGTGTGGAAGGCTATGGAAAAATTTACAATTGAACATAGGCTACTAATTCAGGATAATAACTTAGTTTAAAATGTTTAAATAAAATCATTGTAACTACAAATTCAAATAATGGGCACAGTAGTAGTGTTCATAATAGGCTTGAATATAACATATACAGGGTGTATGATTTATCTGGGACCGTGTAAATATCTCGAAAAATACAGATGACAGGGAAAAACATTAAACGAAAATTGTAGGGTACCAAGGGACATATACCATGTCTACAATTTATTTGACTTTACGATGACCTTGAAAAGCTTTATGAAGGTTACGTTTAAAATTTTAAATAAAAATCTATATTGTTACATATCCTTGTAGCTGACATTAAAAAGTTTTCAAATTTCAAATATGATGTGCCGTTAGCTAGCGTTACCCGATATACCCGTGGGGAGGTTAGTTGGTCGGACTTACTTGTATGTACATTGCCAATGCTGGTGGCACATCACCTTCATCGTTTCATATCTCGAAATTGTCTTGTGCAAAATACGTTTCAATATCAGCTACAAGAATAAGTAATAAAAAATACAGATTTACAAATTTTAATATGATCTTGACAACGTTTCAAGGTCATCATAAGGTAAACTAGATAAGAGCATAGTATATCCAACTCGATATCATACAACTTTTGTTTGAAACATTTTTTTGTATTATTTATATTTTTAAAGATATTTACATGATTTCAGATAAACCACATACCCTGTAGAACAAATGTGATAAAACTAACATTAAGTAACACAAAAACATATGACATGGAATCATTTAATAATTTTTACATATGTAGAAATAAATGAGCCACTGCAAACTATGAATGTACATTAAATATATGTTTACCAAATTAGAGGGAGAGCCTGTTGGTGTGACAGCTAGAGAAGTATTCAGTGTTGTTGCTACGCCTTGTTTTAATAGCATCTGTTTCTTCAGTTGTAATTCCTCTAAGATTTTTCTGTTTTGTAATTCTACAACCGATTCACATAAGGAGTTTGCTTTATCTTTAGAGAAATTACAAGATTATGAATTATAATACCTCTTGAATTTGATTGTGAAAAAGCCATCAAAAACTTGGATTTCTGTTCTCTGAATAGGCAAACAATTTGTACAGTGCTTGAAGTTTATAGTAACACAAAATTCTGTGTGAGTAACGTCATCACTTGTTTCTGATATTTCTTGGTTCTATTTTAAAGAAATATATTCAATGTAAGTGGACAGTTATTTACAAATATATTAGAGAAATCTCAACAATGTTTACATTTTGAAGTAACCATGATATCGTATCAGTCCGATGACTAACCATGAATTACCACAAAACTGTTCCGAATAAACTATTTTACTTTCGAGATACCAATTTCAAGCGTGCCTTTTCATTTAGACAGAATTATATAAATTTTTATATCAGTAGTTCAGCATAGATGTCCAACAATAGATCACCCCGTTACCACTCGTTACCACATAATTGTACAGAATGCTATACTAGCTCCACAGACTACGGATGACTATGGATCGGCAACTCTCGCCGGACGCCGACTCTCGCGGCAAGTCTCGCCTAAAATCACGGCCTGTTAACTCCTGTTGCGATCCTCGCTCATGTCACGTAGCGATATATGTCATAAGCTCCAGAGGCGCGAAGTTTGAATCGAACGACAGATGTAATAGGAAAGGAGGGTAAAGGTGAAATTGACACTAATTGAAGAAGTGTGAACCCTGTTAGAGATCCTTTTAATAAACGCATTTCAAGATTATAAAATAATCAATATTCATTTATTAACGAATGTTTAAACATTTGCCAGGTGCCTTCGCCTCCTATCCTACCACTCAGAATCATTGCAGATATGTAAATCGCTCGTTATCGATAACCGGGAAGAAACGCATCAACGAATCAGGATAAATCTTAGAAATTAATAATTATGGATTGGTCAGTAGTAACTAAGGACATTTTGTAATTAAACAAAAGGTGTATAAAGAGAAATGAAAAGACATTCATTCTATCGACAACATTGTAACGGAAAGGACTAATATAATTACCTTTATAAATTTAATTCGTTTTCCTTTACAATTAATTTAAATCATTTATTGTAATAGTTTAAATATAGTTCCACAGTTTAATTTAAATCTCTATTGCAATTTATTATTATCATTATAATTTCCTTTTATTTACAATTATCTATAAAGCTAACGCGTTTCACATTTCAATTACATTGAGACTCAGGAATTCCGACTAGGTACAGAATAGACCTATCATCCAATGCTTTTTTCTGTCCCACGTTCATAGGGCTACGTAGCCCTGTTACCATTTTAGTGTCCATACCCGACGTTACCGATAAAGCATGAATTCTGAGTATTATTAGCACAAATGAAGTGTTATATATTCCATTCATATTACGTGTATCTATATGATTTCATGAAAATAAAAATACCCGATGCTTCAGTTTAAGGTTAAGGGATAAATATAACAGTCATGACACATGAAACGGAAAAGTATATATTTTTTCACTTAACTACAACACAATTTATTCTAAATGCATCGTTAATGGACATTTTACTAATGTTACTTTTTACATGTTCTTGTTTTATTAGTTTTTATATCTTGCTTTACATTTGTATATTTGTAACAGATAAATTCAGAATAGATGTAGTTTCATAAATAATTTATTAAATCTACCTTTTGGCCGGCAGTATCGGTGCTCTCCGTCGGTGTTGACGCGTGCCGAAAAATTTCGCGCTAGTGACGTTGCGTACCTGGCCGTACCATCTGGTGTTTGGGTCGTTCAAGGAGGAAGGTCGTTCAAGCCGGCAAAAACAATTCAACACGAACAAACCTGCGTACGCCCAATACATGTTAGCTTCCTCACTTTCTCGTGAGCCGTCGCGGAGGCACTGATGCCAGAATCGTGGGATTTTCGCGCGAGCGCTTACCCTCTCCATGCCTCCCGTGGGTATTTTACACAAGCATATTCTAGCCTGTCCGTGAGCTCTTGTGTTGGTCGGTCGCCGAGTAGGACGTAGTGGGGGCAGAGCTCACGGATAGGCTAGATATGCTTGTGTAAAATACCCACGGGAGGCATGGAGAGGGTAAGCGCTCGCGCGGTTATCCCACGATTCTGGCATCACTGCGCGGAGGGTGGGCGCACGTCTCATACTCGTCCTTTCTCTTGTTACTAACCCATTGTTTGTTGCAGGCATTCGACAACCACCGTATATAGGAACTTGTTATTTACTGTCAATATTGTTAATTTATTTACTGTGCATATTATTAATCTATTTACTGTGCATATTGTTGTGTCCCCTCTCTTGTTACTAATCCCTTGTATGTTACAGATGTTCGAGAACCATTGGCTTTAATATTTATTTTCTTATGTACTGTGATTCACTTACTGTGATTTATTTACTGTGCATATTATGTATTCTATGTGTATTGTATAATGAAAAATATTTTTCCAAACAGTTAGTCCATCGAAAGAAGATATCGATCAACGTCTACATCCTCGAAGCGTCTATCACTGCGTTAAGTTACTGTAAGTTAAACTTAAATCATAATTCGATATTCATTGTTATATTCATATTCATCATCACATCGTAATGATAATTATTATTATTAATTTTAGTCTATCTATTAATAGACTTAAATTGTGACCATCCATTGTGCATACCAAGTTATTATTAATTCATTTTGCTCGTTGATTCTCTACACAGACTTGGGGTACGGGCAGTGGGTCTGTACCTAGGGTACGGGCAGTGGGTCTGTACACTAAGACTGTTTGCCGATCCCTCTGGTTTTTATTGAGAAGCCAGATATCGGACGTGTTTAGTCTTTTCCTGGTAAGTAGGATTTGGAGAAAGACTTGTGCGTGCAAGGGTACGGAGTAGTCGGAAGGCTGCTCCGTAAACAGAGAATCTCGCTTGCACTACCATGCTTGTGTACTCCTTTGGTTCGGGTCTGGTACGCAGGTGACCAGCCCGAAGCTCCATGGCACTAAAAGATGGATCCGGGTTTGTGAGGTGTCGCCCGTCTTTCCTATTTTCTTAAACC